CACTTTGATACTTTATGCATCGTTGCCTTGCGTTGGAGGTAGCCCATGGGGGAATGTGAATGGCCTTACTGTTGAGGGTCAAGAAAGAATCAAAGAGCAACAAAAACAGTTTACCAAGTTGTTCAAATCTTTTGTCACACTTGTGGATGAAGTTCATGATGAACGAACCTTGATAGCATTCGAACTGTCCAAGAATTGCAAATATTGGAGATGGCCGATGGTTAGAAAATTCCTCATAGAACGTTCCATGACTACTCATCATTTTGATGGTTGTATGTTGGGTGTTCTTGGAAACAACGGTCAACCAATGAAGAAAAGTTGGACTATTGCAGGAAACTTCAAAGAACTCGCAGTGTTAGACTCATTCAAATGTGATGGCAAACATGAGCATGATCAAAGTAGGGGCAAAGCTCTCAAACTTGCTGAGAACTATACCTTCAAGTTGACCGACATGCTCCATGAGTGTTTCCGGGTAGCTGTGGTGGGCCAAACATCCAAAAGGATTTCACCCGCTGTCATTCGTGCCTGTCCTGCTAAAATGGCTGACTCGCGATATGCCACAGCACACCCGGCCAGCCGCGAGGCTGCGCTCGAAGCCACACGTGAAGCTAACAAAGAAGCATGGTTGCTCCTTCACAATCGCATTTTGTTTGCTTTGGCCATGCGCAATGAAGGTGAGACTCAGGCTTCTCAGGACCTTGTGGATGGACTGATGACCGAATGGACACCGGCTTCGGCCCTGAGGTTCTATGGTCGAGAGGATCCGCTTGCAGAGTACCTTAGCTTCTGTTTTTTGCCAAAAGAGTCCCACATCGAGAAGATCATGTTGCCAGAGATGCCTGTCAATGAAGTAATCTGGATCTTAGTCTCTGACTCGTCATGTGCATTGATCACAGGGCGTAGGAAAACACTTAAGAAGTTTGACCTGTCCGAGCATTTCCGGCAGCGCAAACCTAAGTATGTGACTGAGTTTATCCATGAGATGCTTTGGGGCAAAACTCTGCAGAAGCTGGTCAAGCGTGGGATTGAATTGGCCGCGGACGCCCGCGAGCGCTACCCTGATGCACGCATCAACCTGCATTCGTCCTGGTTCGGAAATGAATTGGTAGGAGAGGATGGGATCGCCCAAAATCCAAATTGGCCGTACGACGGCCCCAACGGGCACTGGCCCACGATCCTGGATGATTGTGAGCGCCACTTGACTTGGTACATCAACAAGGCCCGTGAGTTGGATTTGCAGTCGGCCGGTCTCACGACCGCGCCTTGGTCCGCTGATTATGGCCATCCTATCTTTGACCAGTTCTTTGATGTTTTGGAGCCTCGATTTAAAGCTCTTACCAGCAGCCTGCAAGGGCTCGCCAATCCGAAGTATCCGTGGCTGAAAGCAAAGGGGTACGCCGATGCAATGGAATTCAGAGACCAGTGGCATTTCGCCAACTCTGAAGAAAATCGCACGCGTCTTGCTGCCTATTGGACAGCTACCCTTTTCGCAATTGATTGCGGCTGGCGGGTTGGTCGGATTGGTTTGCAGCTTACTGAGTGTGGCCAGGAAACATGGGATGATTTGCGGAGGAACATGAGCGCCGTCCTGGACGAGCTGCCAAGATCCTATCAGGAGACATGTGCAAACATCACCAAGTTGCTTTTTGGAGAGTCCCGAAGACACATCACGCCGACGGGCAGGTCATTCACCAAGGAGGACGTCGAAGCTCAACAACCAGACACCGAGGACTACATCGACACCAAAACGATGCCTTCTGGCACGTTTGCTGAGCCTCCCAAAGATGACCCTCCAAAGGCCGCCGGCGACGGCGAGCCCGCTGCATCCAGCAGAGCAACAATCCTGGTCCAAACGGCTGAGGTCATGTTGAAGTCGCGACCGAAAGCAGCACCAGCACCAGTGGATGAGCCCGCAGATGACAAGAGAGCCACATCCAGCCAGTACCAGCCGCGGGCAACCGCGCGCTTAGAGGAACATGCATCCGGCCACGTGAAAGCATATTGGATGGAAGAGCATTTGCCTGAATACCAATATACAATGGTGACCAATGCAGACGGGGATGATGTGCCCGGTATCCTCTTTGAAGGTACGGCTTATGAGCTGGAGCTGATATCGGCATCCGACGTTGAGACCATTGCTGGCCAGACTCGTGTCGACAAGAAATTTTCTGATTTTGCAACTCGTGTCAACAAAGTTTGCAGGGGGCATGGATCCTGTGCCAAGGTGCCAATGGACAAAGACCTTTGGATTGACTTGGAGGATTTTGCCAAAGCCTTCCGCAAGGAAGTGCCCCCAGATGTTTTCAACACTGTCGCAAACCTGTTTGGCACCGCAATGAAGATCGACAAGCATGGCAAGAGTAGGTTCCAATTCTTGTGTGCAAAGATCTCCCATTTTCCTGTCGACAATGGCCTAGGTATGCCGTATTATCCTGTGAAAATCCGTGCAATTCAGGGTCACTCCGAAGCTGCCTTGAAAACCGCACGGGGTCTTTATGCCAATTCAACCATGGTGTATTGCTCAGACCACGTATCCCCCGAGCGAAAAGCCGCCTTCACTGGCGTGCCCCTGTGTGCCATGACTGAGGTTCCTGAGGTTGTCTTCCATCGCACGATGAAAAGCAGCTGGAAGAGCATTGCACAGAATGGCCTGATTCCAGGCGGCGGTGCAACAGTCAACAGTGGCCGTGCTCATATCTACATGGCAGAACACTGTATTGGCACGCAGGGATATCGATCTGGATTAAGAGCAAAATGTCCAATCGAAGTCAAAATCGCAATGCTGCAAGCAGTTGAAGCTGGTGTCATCTTTAGTCGCACAGAAATGGATGGGATTTTGTGCTCAGAACGCATCCCACCGCAGTTTCTGGTCAGCATCTCAGAAGAAGGACAGGTGCTTTGGTCCCGCGCCGAGAGCAATCTCGAGCCCAGCACATGGACTGGCGCGGCGCCTGCCTCAGCACCGAAAGCCAAAGCGGTCACCTTGACTGCCCGAGATGATGCAAATGACGACCCAATGGATGACACCAGCACGGGGCGACCCGATGCCACGTCCACTGATGATGCAGCCACTGCCCCAATGCAAGTTGACCAGCCGTCCGCGAGGACGCGCCGTGTTTACATTGCACCAAAGTACTGCGAACCTTTCATGGGCTCATGCCCCCTCTGCCAGGTTGAGTACGTCAGTGGCCAAGTGACATGCACCACATGTGGATATGAGCCACTCCCAGTGGACGAAAGTGGCGAAACAAAAGAGGCCGACAGATCCAACAGAAGGACCCGCATCCTTGAACGGCGAATGCAGAGTCTCGCCGGGTTCGGAATGTATGGGAAGATGAGCGGCACCCTGTTGACGGCTTTGACAAATGAACAAGCCGATCTTCTTCGCCGGGAACTGGGCCCCAGGGGAATCACATCCGTGGAATCAGCAGTCCTCAAAGACTGCCGCGATAGGCATCGACGTGCAAAAGCGCTGGGATATGAGGATGTGGAAGACAGATTCGCCAGCGATGTCACCTTTTGCGACCGCATCCACGGTGAGGGGAAGGGCCTGCAGGATTGTATCTTTGATGATATGTTTGCATACGGCAACCTCCCCGATCCCCCAAGAACTAGAGCTCAGGTCTCGGCTGGCGTCGCCGCCAATGCCCAAAATGAAAGCTGCTTATCCAAGCTGATTTTCATGTCACAGCCCCGAGGCGCGGATGGGTTCCCAGTTGAGTTCCGCAAAACATGGAAAAAGGTCTGGGGTTTCATGTTCGGCCGCCACGTTTTTACAGAGGATGAATATGTCAGCTACATCGGCCGTCGTGGCGCATACCGTGGCCTGTTGACCTGGAAGGGCACTGTCCAAGTTCCTTTTGATGGCACTCTTGAATTCCTCGAAAAGGTGTATGAGGAAAACCTTCCATTGGTTCGGGGCAACCTTGAACGCAAAGAGAAGCAGAGCGCCGCTGCAAAGGCTGGAGGTCCTGGAGGTCACAAGGCCGACCCCACGGTCGCGCCCACTGCTGAGCGAAAGCGCAAAGCCGAAGCTGATGCATCCGCCACCACACATGCCGACACAGCCGCCTCAAGCTCTGCTCGCGCAGACGCCTCGCACGCTGATGCCCCAGTTGATCCCAACAATGCACCATTTCTTGCACCCGAACCACCAACATCTAAAGCAGGAGCACGACCATTCTTGGAGCCTGAGACACCGCCCACTGCAAAAGCAGCAAGCACAGTCACATCGAAGGCTGCAAGCTCCGGTCACCCGGATGCCTCTTGGAGTTGGAATCGTGATCACTATGGTGCACGCCGAGAATGGAGTTTCTGGCGTGGGGCTTGGTATTACCGTGACGAGGCCGGCGGCCGGTGGATCTATTGGAACCGCAGGTAGACGATGATTTTCTTTTGTAGCATAGCGCAAGATGCGGCATGGTAATGCGCCTTCCTTGCAAAGCTGCGCTGGGTTTTACGGGCTTGAGCTTTTTATAGGGACCTTTGAAAGACTGCACAAAATGTTCAAAACCAACTAAAGAAATTTGGCTACCCGCGAGGGTATGCTTTTCTGGGTTATTCGTTCTCCGCAGTCGTCCCTGCTCGCCCGAGGGGGGTGTAAAAACTCCTGCAGTAAAACCATGTAGTGTACATATCATCGTACTACTCTGTAGCGTTGGTTCAAAAGAGCTGAGTGCTTAGCGGATTTGTGGTTCACCCCCATTGTAAGTAACATTGGTGGCTGACCTTGTAAAATACAACTTGGTTGTTTCTTGAGATTCTGGCTCGCTACAGTACTGTACTGTTCTGGCTGACTTTTGTTTGGAATGGTTGGATTTTTTGAGGCTCTGGCTTTCATCCTAAGGGCCTAAGGGATGCATGATAGGGGAAAGGGACTTGAGAAGCTGCTTCTGTTGATGCACTTGCCACTGATCAGGGGGCCATGGCGCCATGTCCCATGATGTTCAATGTGCATCAATGTGCCACGGATGATCATCAATTTGTTGCCTGGAGCCCAGGAATATTATGTGAAAGAAATTCGGCTGCCAAGTCCAGAGGCTTTGCAGCACAGCTGCCAAGATTTGTAGATTTGTCAAGGGCTCTCAAGGAGTCTCTCCAGGTTTTGGCCAAAGTTTCAACGTATGTCAACGTTATGCGCAGCATGGATGGCCAGCTATGGCCAGCTGTATGCTAAGGAGCGATGCCGCAGAAGATCGGAATCATTGGACCTTCCAATTGAGCGAGGCGTGTCATTTGGTCAGCGTTTGCTTTTCGAGATGCAAGCAGATCAACGACCCCAACATGTACCTGGAGATCCTTGGCGGAGGTACAGTAGCAAAGCATGGCAAACAATATCAAGGTGTTCAATGGTGTTCATCAATTTTAGCTGGACTATCTTGTGGGAAAGCGACAAGAATGCCTTGTGAGAACAGAAGCAAAGTAGTACAGATGCTTGTCACTTTGTGTCACTTTGCCCCTGAAACCACACCGCTATCAGGATTTGTTGGTGACGCTGCACCTCGGCAGAATTTCAGGCTCTATCCAAGCACAAACTTGGATATTCGCGCTCAAATCAGGGAAGTGCATGGAAATGCTGTGAAGCCGAAATGATCCGAAATGACTGAAAGATTCCGAAAGAATCGCGTAGTGGCCAGGCAAAATGCTTTGCTCATTCTTTGCTCACTGCTTTGTTCGTTTTGTTTTCATTCCCGGTCTTCCCGTTGCCGCTCTAAGCGAAAGATAAGCAAGCGAGGCAGATGAAGAGACACCGCGTCTTCAAGAAGGAGTGGGCCTGAGCTGGCTTGCATTGAATTTGTTTTGAATTGTTTGGAATCAATCCATTTCAACGAAAGGTAGCTCCAGAGGAGCTACCTTGAGTTTTACTTTACGAAGTAAAGGGGAGGGCGGCCAGCCCCGTTACCTGATTCTTCAGGAGATTGCTAGTCATTTTAGTACCCCCCCCCCTCCACACCTCCCACGCACCCTAAGAGCAGACTCAAAACATTGTAATTTACAGTATTTTTGTTCTTTTCGGATCAAGAAACCACATTTTGCTACATGGTGAAACCTCCGTAAATACCAGTGTTTTTGCCAGGTGCTGGCCAAAAAACGCTGTAAATACCGTGCTTTTTACTACCAGAGGCAAAAAACATCGTAAATACTGTGGTTTTGGGCTTCCGACCCGCCAAAAACATTGGTATTTACGGTGTTTTTTGCTCCGAGAGTTGTAAAAACACGCGAAAACACCACCGATTTGACGATTTTCGGCCACTACGGAACCGAGCAAAAACGCTGCAGGGGTAACACCAACAACAACAACACCAACAGCAACAACAACAACGACGACAACAACAACAACAACAACAACAAACAACAAACAACAAACAACTAACAACTAACAACTAACAACAACAACAACAACAACCCCAACGCACAACACACAACGCACAACGCACAACGCACAACCCACAACACACAACACACAAAACACACAAAACACACACAACACACACACAACACACACAACACACAAAACACACAACACACACACAACACACACAACACACACAGCACACACACACAACACACATACAACACACACAACACACACAACACACGCAACACACGCAACACACACAACACACACAACACACACACAACACACACGCACACACAACAACCACAACAACCACAACAACCACAACAACTACTACAACAACGACAATGACAACAATAACAACAACAACAACAACCACAACCACAACCACAACCACAACAACACACCACAACACACCACAACACACCACAACACACAACAACACACAACAACACACAACACACATAAAACAATACAACACACACACAACACACACACTCACAACAACACACAACAACACACACACAACACACAACAACACACAACAACACACAACAACACACACAACACACACAACACACAACACACACAACACACACACACACAACACACACACACACACAACACCACACAACACACAACACACACAACACACAACAACACACAACAAACACAACAACAACACACAACAACACACCACAACACACAACACACAACACACACAACAACACACAACAACACACAACAACACACAACAACACACAACAACACACAACAACACACAACAACACACAACAACACACAACAACACACAACAACACACAACAACACACAAAAACAACAACAACAACAACAACAACAACAACAACAACAACAACAACAACAACAACAACAACAACAACAACAACAACAACAACAACAACAACAACACGAACACGAACACGAACAATACCAACACCAACAACACGACCAACAACACCAACACCACCAACAAACCCAACCACACCAACAACACTAACAACACTAACAACACCAGAAACACTACCACCACCAACAACACCAATACCAACAACACCAACAACACCAACACCACCAACACCACCAGCACCACCAACACCACCAGCACCACCAACACCAACACCACAACCACCACCAACCCCAACCACATCGCCGAAGCCTTTCAGTCGCTTTTACCAGGCTCCCCTTCATATTTTTGGAAAGACAATGGCCGCGTCGCTTTTACCAGACTCCACTTTATGTATTTTTCCCTCCCCTCTCCCCTTCATTTTTTCTTCGGTTCCTTTCTTGCTTACCTACCTTTCGTGTTCCCCCTCTCAAGTGAGTCCTCATGCGCACTCTTTGGCCACACGTTACTTCCTTCGTGTGGCTAGTCACAAAGTGCTAGGTTGGAGCAGATTTGGTGGTACATCTTCGAATATCTTTGCTAGAAGCCCTTTTGGGCTTTGATCGGGAGATCCAGCACTTGGATGGACACCTGGTTCGTATTTTTGTCCGTCGTGGCACAGTAGTGCAGCCAGACGAGGTCCTTATCATTGAGGGCGAGGACATGTCGCTTGGCCACTCTTGGCCCCATTAATTTCAGCATTCCGATCTATGTATATCTATTTGATATGCCTTCATATACTATTGATAAATTGTTCATATACATAATATATAATTAGTTACATTATATAAATATATATATATAATATTATTTATATGTTATATATAACAGTTATTTATATTTATATATTTATATATACTGTACACGTTTGAACTCAGCTCGGCTTGCTTCAATCAAGGCCAATGCACGAGGACCTTTCGAGTTATGGCCGTTTGCTGGTGCGCTTCACAGTGGATTTTCCGGACCATGTTCCATCAACAGCAGCAGGGCCATTGGAAAGTGCACTGAAAACGTTGCAGTGAGCCCTGCAGAGCAAGCAGCATCATGCAGTCAGAGCATCTTCTGTTCTACAGTACCTGGCGATACTGCGTGACATTGCCCTCTTGCGTTCGAAAGATGCTTGCCTTCATTTGCTTGGCAGATCTTGGCAGTGCTTCACAGGATGTGGCCAACTTCCAACGCTGTAGAAGACATCGCGGATATTGGAAATATTTGTGGATTGAATGTCACAAGACTACTGCCTGATGTGACTCAATCGAAAGATTTGAAGAGGTACATTTGGTGCTCTACTTCATCACGTTGATACATAGTGCCCATATGTGCCCATTGCAACAGGATGCAATTTGGATAGGCAAGTATGACTCAGCGCACAAATACCCATGCACCGGCTTCAAAGGCTGGAATTCTGATTTGGCATGGAGAACATTGGAGAACCCTTGCAAGACCAAACTTCACGTACAAGACGTACTGGCTGTAGACAAGAAAGCTCGCTGGAATTGGCGGGGCGGGCACCATGGATCATCATGAATCCCAAGGATGGGTTGTTTACTCCAATGTGAAAATATGTGAAAATAGATGGCATCGATTTGTGAGTTGCGCCAGCTACTCCTGACCCGAAATTCATGGTCTGAAACGAGAAAAGAAATAATTATATATATAATAATTATAATATTATAAATTATTTTAAATTATATAATAATTGAAATAATTAGGTCTTGATGGCTGTCAGGGATCAATTTGCAGTTGAGCCACCTATTCTGCACTTTGTGGGGGTATTGTCCAGAAAAAAACGGTTTCCACATTCTCAGTCCGATCTACCCACTGGCCGGGAAATGGGGTCTGCGCCATCTACAGTACTTTCACTTTGGTGTATATCATTCCATTCATGATCATTCATGCATGTATGCAAGGGATTGGAAGGGTGGACGTATTGATTCTTTCAACATGCACACCTGTGGCAATGCTATGCACTGTTGATTCGTTGGCAAGGATGCATGCACCTCGTCAGGCATCACGTTGCATCACGTTCATGGTACTTTCATGAAATTTCTTCCCGGTCTTGCTGGGCAAGTGTTGCTAGGCCAGAAAGCGCCCTGCTCCGCGGAACCCGATGTCTATTTGTTGCTGAACATTTCGGCTCAGCCATGACGGCAGCATGGCGTAGTCGCAACGGCAACTAGTGGCTTGACAAGACACCAGGGACAAATGACCAAAAAGATGCGAAGAGCGATAAAGCATGATAAAAAATATTAAAAAATGATAAAACTGTAAAGTGTGCTTTGTGTGTTTTTTGTGTTTGCGTCGTGCTGCGTTGCGGGAATGCTCTGCAGCGTCAGAATGATTCGCATTCTTCCAAGATTAGGAATCCAGCTTCAGCCGGTTCTTATTGACCGGGATTAGTTGAAAATCGCGTGCCGCCCCATGTTGCCAATCTTTTAGGACCTAAAGATTTAAATGGAATATAGAATTGGAATATAGAATTGATGAAGGCTTTTTTTCTGCTTCATGTTGCCACACCGTTGCATCCGTTGCCCTCACATGACTCTGAACACTTCGCCAGTTGCTCTCTGAGGTGTGACTTGCATCCGTTCAATGCCTCGAGCTCGAGATCTACAAGGTCCTGGGCAGTATGAAATTCCTCATTTCCTGTCCCAAAGCACGAACCTTGGCACCAGAACCTGTCCCTCGCCGATGTCAATTGTTTTACAGTTCATGAGTTAATGTTTTAAGAAACTTTAAGAATGTTCAAGACACGTGTCCTGATGCCAAAGACCTCCAAAGATGCTTTTCTAATCTTTTCTATGCCTTGCTCGAGCTAGGCCACCAGGCACCTGGCTATTCTATAACAGGTGCCCACACTTCACTGGTGATAGTGTCTTCTGTGCTTGCTGTAGCCTTGAACAGAACGCTCCAGTCTTCCAGCGTCAGACTGAGATTAGAGATCTAAGGAGAGCCGTAAGCTTGAAAATCGGCAACCGAATTGCCAACCAGACCCAGCCTCAGTTGTGGTGCTTTGATCATCTTTGATCAAATCTCCTTCAGCATGTCATGCAAACGACAAAATCAAGCAATATTCATGCACACTGTCGTGCGATTTGCATGTCGCATACAAGTTGTAGGATCAGTCAGGCAGTGCAAGACACAGTTCATACATGTCTAGTATTGTCTAATTATGCAATATTATATATACGATGTATATGTTGCTGCCAGTCTTTCGACGTGCCGGCATTGTGTGCGAACACGAAGCCTTCCTTGGTTTTAAGAACAACGTAGCAAAGCTGCGGCGCTTAGGTTTCGCAATGCTGCAAAGTTGTATCATGCAAAAAGGAAGGTTGAAGCTCAAAAACGCGGCAATGTTCAGCAAGATCTTGCAAATACCATGCAAACATCACAAAACATCATGCAACATGAAAAGGTCTTCCAAATGTCGCAGAGGCCATGCAAAGTGAGAGGTTCTATTCCCACGGATTTGCTGGTGTTCACTGCAAAGCCACAAGCGTAAGGAAATCACAAACATGGCCTACACCCAAACGAAGACCACAACATTAGTATAATAGTTGTTGGATGTTGTTGGTGTGTTACTTCATCTAAACCACCACCAACAACCACAACAGCAACAGTAAAATCGACAACAACAACAACAACAGAAAACTACTACGTAGTACTTGTACAACTACAACTACAACATAGCAACGAAAATAACAACAACGAAAATAACAACAATAGCAAACAAGAACCCACAACAAACAGACAACAAGCAACAGCAATAGCTTGCAAATAGCATACCAAATGGAAGAATCCAGCTCCAAAATGTCGCAAAGATATGCAAACAGCATGCAAAATCGAAGGTTCGAGCTGCCCAATGTTGCAACTTGCATGCCACGTGCAAGCTTCAAGCTGTTGGAAATAGCATGTGCAGAGTAAAGTTCCAGCTCTAAAATGCCGCACATACAAGTAGCATGCAAAATGGAAGGTTCCAGCCCTA